TGCTAAAGGATGTAAAGGATGTGTAAGAAAAGGACAATGTTATAGTAAATGTTTTCATTTATTGTTTAGTGTTAATTATTGGACTTATAATTTTCATTATCTCATCACCTGCTTTCAATAGGTGATATTACAAATAAAATATATTTTTCTACCCTGATATTACCATTATATAATGAATGCTATTATGACTACATTAATATTTTAATGATCGGCAGCCAAAAAATTATCCACTTATCATAGTAAAATTTGTGTTACGTATACTCTACCCTTAAAAAACTGTTGTTTTGCAATTTCAAATTTGGAAAAAAAATTTTCTTTTCTCACAATTTACAACAACTTTGTTAAGAACAAAAGATGCGCCTGCGGTAGACTGTGTTGTTCTATCAGAAGCCAGTAACTGGCAAGTCATCATATAAGAATGGCCAGCCATTGTATAAACAACAGCACACCTCTACATTAATTGACTTTAATCAAACAAGATGCACTTACCTTTCTTTTTGTTAAAATTTTCATGTATTGAGATATGACTATGACATCTTCATGGGCAGAAGTGAAAAATGCAATATAGGTTGGATGGCTTCATACAATAATCCCACTCCTATAGAATTCTTTCACTTGCTTTCATCATCACACAAATCCAGTGCGTTTGGAAAATATAATGTGCTTCTCAGCCAGGCTATTAAATGTTGTGAGGATCCAGTCAAGCAGTTGGAACTAGAAAAAATAAAAGAAACAGCTGATGTACATAGTCAAATTTGCTATTCTTTGAGCATATGAAAATACAGTATTTCTAACATATATACTCTCTTCACTAAATAGTGTCATGCAGACTGGAATGTGTGGTTGATAGAGAGAAAAGAAGTATGTTCAATCGCAAATTTTCAACAAGGTACATGGCTAACTATGATAATTTATATCTGATAGGGGTTGATTCACAATGAGGTTCATGAGACAAATGTGAAAGTCCACCGAGAATTGAACACATTTGTCAGGAATTCAGGAAAGCAAAAGGTATCATTAATAATCTTCTGACTGTTGGCTTTTATCAATTGTGAATGCATGTAAAAATTAATTACTGTTCTGCAGAGTAATGACAATGCCAATGGTGAGACAGAGGAAGGTAGCAACAGCAATAACATCAATGTCAATTATGAGGAAGAGAAAGGTAGCAATAGCAATAGTACCAATGCTGATAACAAGAAGAGAAAGGTTGCAATAATGTCAATGAGGAAGAGTGTGAAGAATTTGCAGATAGGGACAAGGTCTGCATCTCTCTATTGTAGTGCATTTGGTATGATCAGAAAATATTAAATTTGTTTTGTTTCTTTATAGATAATCATACATTATATTCTCAATGATATTCTTTTGGCATCTCAAGCTGAAAAAGATAACTTAGATATATACTGTTCCAAATTCAGCCATTGTTCAGTTATGGATCTTTGGTTAAATTCAGAATTCTCCCTTTTTTTAGATCAGGAATTGCAAGAACGGATATTACATGAAGTTTTTGATACAATAGATAATGATTATGTTACAGATGAAATACATAATTTTTTCTCTGATTTTTTTAATGCTGATCATGGAAAGGAAGGTTGGTGTGATGCAATTCGGAGTATAGCAATTGATGAAAATTGTGAAATAGCAGATGACTACAATGATGATAATTGCATATTAATTTGTGGTCATGAATATCATTATCAGTGTCTTCAAAATCTACAGTTTAAATGTCAACATTGTCTTGGTTATTTATTGAATGGCATTGAGTATTTAGGAAATTTATATAATAATAGATTAGAAAGTTTAGACAATACATCCATATTAGATGAAGAAGATGAAGAGGAGGATGAAAATACTGTAGATAATGAAGATAATATTAATTTGGAGGGGTCTGAAGAATTAATTTTGAAAGGGGATTTAAATCTTGATCAATATTTAAAAAACGCGTTGTATGCATTTCAACAAAATTAAATAAATTTTTCCGTGTAACATTTATGATTTTGTGGAACAAATGAATGTCCACCATGCTTACATGAAAAATAAACTCAAAATTCGTGTCACATGAAGTTTTTTTAAAATATATCATTATTTTTATAACAAACTCGAACTTCGTTGTTAGAGTAAAATGAAAGTACTCCATTGAAGCTTTCTAATGAATACTCTGTCATATCAATAGGTCTTCTCTACATGAATCCACGGCTATTCAAAAACGGGTATTACTTTTTCACTTCAAAGCTCAGATTATTTCTCAATATTGCTTTAAAAGACTTGATAGTAAATGAGAAAATGCAGAATACTTTAAGCCTTCATATGTTTATTACTTTAGGGGGGTATTGGTTAATAAGTTTTAGAGAGGCTCATGAAAAACTATTTTATAGAAATTTAATAGTCATGAAGAATTTTTGTAGATAGGATTCAGCAAAAACTAAAAGGTATTTTATTAGATTGT